TTTTTTATCAATCAATTTGTTATATTTCATCTAGATTCTCAGTAGGCAAGTTTGCAATAATTATGCTATGTTTTAGGCGATACTTGACCTATATGCACTTTCTTAACATAGTGTTTTCTTCTTACAGGAGATTTTAGACCAGATAGTAAGCCAGGGAGCAAGATTTGATGAATTACAATATTTGAATTTATTAAAACTCCAACATCGATGCCAAGCTGGTTCTGATCCTAAACTACTCCGTAACCGAGAAAATAGACTTCGGGAAATCATGAAACAAACAAATGGTATCTAGTACAATTAATGTTACAAGATGGTAAACATGATGTTCATAGCCTTGCATACTTTTTACCTTAGATGTCTGAGTACAAGTCCCTCCCCTCCCCCTTCCAACAAGTCATTTATGCACAATAAAAATGAGAAAAAGAAATTCATCATTAAATAAAGTATGATCTATCTTCAAGTCAAAGGCAGCAATTTGTTTACAACTTGTGGGGCCTGGATCAATCCAAAGTTAAAGGATTCATCAAAGATGAAACTGATCAACAACACTTTCTTGCCCAAACTTCACGCAACACAATTATTTTCAAATCTAGGTGAAAACAAATGTTTTGACACATTGCAGCTATACACATGTTGTTTCATAGCAAAAAAAGTCAACTCGTTTCTAGTCACTTATATCGGACTATGGTTAAATCAATGACTTTTTTTTAGTACCGGTACACCTGGCAATTTTGTCATGAATAAATTAGCATAAATTATTGCTCTTAAGAAGTTTTGTATTTGTTTATAAGTTGCTCCTCTGAATTTTTTGTCAGTTTGATGTTTTCTGGAGGAGTTTTGTACCCTCACAACTACGGTATATCCAATGAGTGACATCACAGATTTATTCTACAGTTACAATATCTTGAATCATGTATGCTTTATACAATCCTTCAATATGTAAATATGTTACCTTTTCATCACAACCTAATTTCAATGTTGCTTTCTTTTTATATTTTAAAATTATGTCTTCAGTGGTGCTGATTAAATATATGACAAGACAATATTATTAATATTTTCATTATTAATGACTGCCAACATTCATATTATTTCAATTGATCTTCTGGAGTGAATTGTATTTATAATCATGTCAATGACTATTTCATTTGTGGTGAGCACTGAAAATAATTTTGTTCAAAGTCATTTTTTAAATAGTGCTGATAATGAGGGCTTGAATACACATTTAATAAGAAATGTCATGTTTTATAACATGTTATCAGTTCTTTGTTAGGAAGATCTGATATATCAAGTTGTGCAATAGTGTTAATAAATATATTGTGACAAATTATCATGTGTTAATCGTTTTTTCTGACACCAATCATGCATACCTGCATGCCCACTTCTATCTCAGACATCTCAAATTTCACATATACATTATATGTCTTGGAATCTTTACTTCCATTCATGTCATGATCTGAGTTAAGATGGCTGAAAGATGGCTAATTTTTTTGTTCAAAATTCATCAAATTTCAGCATTCCTGCCATCCTAAAGCATGATTTAAATTGGTCGCCATTTAGTTTTTAACTGAGGATATTTAACTGATTTTACCAAATGTACAATTTTATTTCGTGGAATTATATGGAAATTAATGGTTGAAAAAGATTGAAAAACAAATAGTTTCATGAGAAAATGCATCTGTGTTTTTTAGGCTTGTTGTATTGAGTGTTTTCTTCATATTAGATGTTAAATGGCAGGCCAATCTTAATTAAACTAGGGAGACTGCCATAGCTATGTTGAGTTGTTCCTGATATTATTGTATGTTAAATGTCATTTGGCCTGGGCGCTACTTGCATGGGGGACTAATTTCACCACACGCATGGATATGCTCAATTTAAATTGTATTGTTCATTAACTTTAACGTTGATAATATTTTGTTGAAAGTCGTAGAAATCATAATAAATGTTCACAGAAAGATTTCCATGACATGTCAATAAAAATTGGCTTCATAGATGGCTAAAGTTAGCGAAAATCTAAAAATGAAACTATGTAGAAAGTTGTTAAAATTGATTTGAAAGTTGGAACTTGGTCATATATATTATATTTGAATCAATTGCACATTCAAAAAAACAACTTGAGAGGATGTTTTACATAGTCCTCTAAAAACATAATTTACATGTACATTTGTATATAAATAGTTCAACTTATTAATATGTTTTGCGTATTTTAAGTCACATGATGTATGATGTTTCTTCTATTTTGTTGCTTTTTTATTTAATTAAAATTGAATTAAAACGCAATTCTATATTGAATTGCAATTTATTTGAGTTTAATTTAACTCTTGATTAAACCCAAATTTCAATCCAAACATAACACCACTATATTAAAAGTTAATTCAACTATATTAAAAGTTAATCCAACTGAGTCCTCATAACAGATTTGATTAGTTTTTTGGTTAAATTCATGAATATTACCTAATTTGCATGATAATTAGATATTTTTTAGGTGTTCCATTACTGTTCCACTGATATCTAAAGAACTATACTCATTGGTAACAGTCCATGCATATTAATTACCTAATTTGCATAATGATTAGTATGATCAGTTAATTTTTGGCTTTTCCATAAGTCAAGTACTGATCGTCTCATTACAATGAAACTTGGTTCATAGATGTCATAGGACAGTGCGCAGACTTAATAAGTTGTGGATTAATCTTGCATATTAATTGCCTAATTTGCATACCTGATAAGTAGTAAATGTTAGGCTTTTCCTCTGATATTTCAATTACAAGTCATTACATTTCAATAAAGCTAAGGATGCTCTAGAAGTATGCACAGATCTAACTAGTTTTAATTAAAAATCTTTGCATATTAATCACCTAATTTGCATAATGATTAGGCCTTCCCACTGATATCTCAAATACTAATAACCACATTACAATGAAACTTGGTACATAGATGCTCTAGGATGCACAGACCTGATAAATTTTGGATTAATATTCGTGCATATTATTCACCTAATTTGCATAATTAGTAAATTTTGGGCTTTTTCACTTATATAATGGACAACTGCCCTGCGCAGCACAGAAGTTTGTCATTCAATCGACACAGATAGTGACCATGCATTGAAACACTGACACACAGTCCATGTAAGCAGGGTTAGGTATTTGATAGAGGGCGTTCTTAGGGGTAACCCATTTGAAAAATTCCAGACTCAAGCTCTTTCCATAGAAGATAAAAAACAATCTTAGCTATTGACTATTAGAAACTATAAGAGGGACAATGGAAGAATTGAAAAAAAAAAATAGTTTGCACATAAAAAACTACTGTAAAAAATTTCTGCAGGGATCAATAACAGAAAAAAATCTGAACGCCTAAATCTTAGAGAAAAAAAAGCAAATTCATCATGGAGAGAAAAATTGTGTTGCACCAGTCTCTTTGGTGTTTTTCAATAAAATAAAATATTATATCAGTGCATAAATGGCGTAAGTATATTTTATTTTATTGAAAAAAAACACACCAAAAACAAAAAAGAGCCTGTACGCAAGTCTAACCAGGTACTCGGATGTGCTTCCACGGCGAAGTTGAAAAGTGTGACTCAACGCAATTGTTGACTCGCACACTTTTTCATCAAGCTAGGTAGCCTCTCAGTCATTTTAATTTGTGAATCGTTGGGGAGACTTAAAAACAAAATGGTGGGCGGAAAGCTGGGTTGAGTGGTGTCTGGTGAGAATTTATTACCCATCTCTGCGGAGCCGAGTTACAAATATATACCTGAAAAGATGTCTTCTCAGACTGAATTACAAAAACACCTTTCTAATTTAAAGTTGTCATCGAAGACACTGACAGGACTTCTACATAACAACAACAAAGGCGCAGCTGACTGGTACGTATTCATTTTGATCGGAGTGACACAGTCAGACAGTGAGATGGAGACTTCCGTATTGGATGCACGTTGCTTTGTTAGTAAATACACAACTAAAAATAACAGTGTTTTACATCATTACTCTGGTACATGAAGTTATAACACAGGAAGTCTGGAAAAGATGGGCGATTGTAGTAACTTTATACATGCTGACACATTACTGCTTGGATTTAAATCCCTTGGCGTGTCATTAGGGCCATAATTAAAAACTTTGACACAGTGAAATATGTAATTAATTTAACAAATATGAACAGTTAAATTTAAAATTTGAAACTTTTAAATTTAAAATATGAGCATTTAAATTAAGAATATGAGCATTTAAATTTCTAATATTAAAATTTAAAGGAAAGACTCTCTAATCATGGAGGTAGAAAAGAGAAGGAGTGATGACGCTATTGTTTCCGCTGGTTTCATGATGCTTTGGATTTGTTTAAACTCACATACACAATGTAATTAGTTTGCAAACACGCTGTACAATGTCA